TGTCCGGGCGTCCCTGCGCTCCCGGCCGCGGTGCCCATTTCCCCTGTGGATGGGGGCTGGAGGAGGCTGCAGGGTTTGCCTGTCAGCGCGGGAAACAGAAATAAATGTGCCATTAAAAACCAGAAAAGCCGGCAAGGAACTCTTAGGTTATCAAATAATATTCCCTGCAATTACTGAAGAGTTCGAGCAGCCGGACAGCCCACCTCATTACTGGTAATGACTAGGAGGGCTGCCCGGGTGCTGTAACTTTGCCATATCTGCAGCAGATACTGTTTAATAACATAAAACTGGGGTTGCCAGTAGGTGGCCCGGTGGTTTAATACATGTGGCTGTTACTGCTCTGGGTACCGTTCTGCTCAGCCTGGTCAGTCCTCTAGATAGCCATGGCACGAGCTCTGCACTTTAACACTCACTTCTGGTGATCATGAAAGGTCTGGCGCTGAAATAACAGCGCGACTGTTAAAAAGGGGTCAGCTGAAGAACTGCTTAGGGTCATCTGTGTTTATGTGGCTTTTCTCAGTATTGCTAATTTTTATTTAGATCAAGAGAATGAGTTACTTAAAAAAAAGTGTAAATTCTTTAGTTAAATAGATTGAAGTGAAGAAAAAAATTGTTTATCTGTTACAGTGTTTGTGTGTATTTGTAAAAACCTTCATTTGTTGTTCATTTAAACTGTTAATATATTTGAAAAATGTTTAATGGATGTAATTATAGTAAGTTGCTGAAAATATAGTAATTTGAGGCTGTGTCCTGTCTGCGTTATCGATTTTATTGTTCATGAAGCAAAGCAATGAGAACACAGTTCTGAAAAATATCGAAATACGTGCATGTTTAACTACACAGTTGTGTCAGCTTCAGTACCCTAATTTTGTTATGTATATGCTTTTCTGTATGCAGGAACTTTGTATTTCACTCTTGTTGTTAAGAAAGCTCTTTATAATTTTTTTTTCTTGTTTAGGATGGGGAAGTCAGAGTTCCAAAGTACATATACATCATAGCACATGGCTTCATTTTCCTGGCCACAATTTACGCTGGATACTGACTTTTATCCTTTTGTTTGTACTAGTGTGTGAAATTGCAGAGGGTATAGTGTCTGATGGGTAAGTGCATGTCTACCTTCTCCTGATAGTACTGAGCATTTTAAAGGCTGCAGGGTATGTATTTTCTCTCTGTATATATTCTCATCTAGACCCTATTCCTTGTGGGTTATAAACACGTAATCTGTATTCTTAGTGATTAACCTACCGACCTTGTATCAGAAATTCCACAGTCCTTGCCAAGTTATGTACACACGCACAACTGACCCTAATAATTTTTAGTTCAGCTTAAAGACACTATTTTTCCGAAGAGTAATCATAGATAAATTCTAACAAATCAAGCAGATGGTGACATTTTTGTGATATGTTTTACCTCCAAGGACCCAGTCCCACAGTCCTTACTCGGGCAGAACTCCCATGTGCACGGCAGGTCGCAAACTGAGTTCTGTTCATCTTAATAAAAGGAGTTGATCTGCTGGGCCTTATCTCACACCCCGCAGAGTTTCTTCTGATGTTTGTGCAGTACTTCTGATCTGTTACCTTGAGCAGAGCAGCTCACATTATATGAGCATTATCCATCATCGGTTATTCAATTTAGGATCTCTTTAAATAGTAATCTGTGGGGAAAAATTATTCCAAGTTAAACAAGTGATACAGGAGAGTGATTTATCATGAAAAAAAGCTAATATTGTATAACAATTACTATGGTCATCTTCCTGTGAAGAAAGGTCTGATTTTCATAACTATTATGAATTTGCAACCCAAGGATTATTAAGTTGAAGCTCCTTGTTAAATAGAACAAAACCTCTCTGTATAACAACTATCCACCAAGCAGTGTGAAAGACACTGCAGTATTCTGCTGTAGAAGCTGATATCATAATTATTATTATAACTTCTCTTAAACATATATAAATAGGATGTTTCTCAGTGCTAGTTTTTTTAAAAATGAAATTTTCTTATGCTTATTCAGAGTTATCAGGGTGTGGGATGCTCAGCAAAATCTCCTGCCTTTTCTTTTTTATTTTGCTCCTCACCAGTTATGTTTATTTGCTATTTAATTTGACTCAGAACACTGCTGTTAAGTGTCACCTGATGAGAATCAAAGCTCCTAGTTATACTGGGGGAGTGCCAACCCACAGTCATGCCTCTCGAGCACTCAGCAGGCCAGCGAGTGCTCCAGTGAATAAAAGCAGATTTTGAGACTCATCATCTTTCTAACACCAAAATCGATTGCGTTGGTAAGTCCTTTTGACAGCAATTAGGTGCCAAAGGCTTTGGCATCTCAGCAATAGATGCAGCCTATTGGAGATGTGGTTATATAGGGGAATTCCAGCAACTTCTGTCTGTGAAATAAATAAATTTTGAAAAACCCTCCCACTCCTGCACCTACTGAAGCTCAGGCTGTCTGAAGAAATCTGTTCCTGTTGCTTCTTTTTCCTTGCCGAGAAGTCAGCCCTGATGTACAAAAAACCCTGGCATTACTAGGAATTCAGAGACTGGAGAATCTCTTCTGGTTTTGCTGTATACATATACAACTCAGTGTCGACAAGAGGAGTTACGTGTTTATGACACAGGTTGTCAGCATGGCTCCAGCCAGCTCTGCAGAGTTCACCACAATGTCTGTGTGAGGGAGGACTTTCCTTTCCTAGTACAGACGTAGGAAGTGGTTCTCCTGAGCTCCTACGGCTCTGTTAGACATTTGGAATGTTCTGCTCTCAGACATGTGACGTCCTGTGATGATCTCCAGCTCCCTGACAAGAAGAAATCCAGAGATGCTAATTTATTTTCCATGAGGTTCAGAAGACAAGGTGTGAATTTCCCTGAGTGTTTGTACTGAAGACTTCTTGATGCCTCTCCTTCTGGAGTTGGTTGGGGGACAGAGGAAATTGTACCTCTTGACAGCACAGAACTCTTCATTACTTCTGTAAAAGAAAGAGAAGGGGAGGAGGAGAAGATGGCAAGTAGGAGGTTAGAGAGGAGGAAAACATGATTCTACCCACCTCTGCACAAACCAGCAACATGGCCCCAAAATTCCCAAAGGAGTGTAGTTGGCAGGACCCCCTCCACTGCTACCTGGAGTAAAGTGTCAGGAGAGTTTTGCTTTCTAGAACAGAACTTAAGAGTATATGATTCTGTTGTAGGTTTTGTTTGTTGGCTTGCCGTTGCTGAAAACAGAGCTCACTGTAAGTAATTCCCGTGTGGTGCTGTTCCTTCTCCCAAACTGGAAAAAGAAAATTAAACATTTCCACAAAATGTTTCTGTAGAAAATCTGAAACTGCGCTGTCAGTTGGTCTTATCTACATATTTTGATGGACAGCTCCCAAACTAGTTTGGCTTAAATTAACTTTTCTCATTTTGGAGCTGAGCTGCTTCTCCTA